CGACAAGAGGAATAGGAATTGGTGTGCTTATTACCGGTTTACCAGAATCTTCTATAGGGATCGGTGCACTTATGAAAGGTCTGTCAGTATCCTCAATAGGGATCGGAGCACTTATGATAGGTCTGTTAGGATCCTGTATGGTTGTAATGTGTGTTTCTGGAACGGGCACAGGGATTATAGGAGTCCGCTCAGGGGTTTTAGGTTTGGAAGGAGGAGGCCTAACAAGAGGTTGACCTTTTACAATAGGTTGTAAGGGTACTGGATAGTTGACTCCAATTGGCTCCTGGAGAATGGGTGCACTTATTGTAGGATGGGAGGTTTGTTGGATAGGAGCAGGTGAAACATGAACAGGTGACGCTGGTATAGGTACACTTACAGGAGGGATAGAAGGTTCAGGAAAATGGTTGTCATGGTTACCAATCGGTTGTAAGGGTACTGGATAACTGTCTGTGATAGGCTCCTGAAGAAAGGGTGCACTTATTGTAGGATGGGAGGTTTGTTGGATAGGAGCGGGTGAAACATGAACAGGTGACGCTGGTATAGGTACACTTACAGGAGGGATAGAAGGTTCAGGAAAATGGTTGTTATGGCTACCAATAGGTTGTAGAGGCACAGGGTAGTTGTTATCTATAGGTTCCAACAGAACAGGATTGCCTATAACTAGTTTGTGGTGAGGAGGAGAAGGTTGTTTGGGAGAGGGAAGGTGTTTTGGCTGTTCCTCCATCTTAGATTTGGGTGGTAATGCTAATCCAGATGGTTTTTGATGTTTCAGTTTTGGAGAGGACACTATTGGTATAGGAGCCGAAATGATGGGTACTGTTTCTAGCGGTTTTGAAACAATTGGCTTTGGTGATGAAATGATCGGTTTGGGTGATGAGATTACAGGTTTTGGTTTTGTTATTTTAGGTTTTGGTGTCAAGATGAGTGGTTTTGATGATAAATCAACAGGCTTTGGGGAAGAGATAAAAGGTTCAGGAGTTGCTATGGCGGTGACCTCAGGCTCCGGGTTGATGACTGGCTCCTCCTCTGTCGTTCTTTTCATCATCAGCTGCCGATTTATTTCTGCTTTTAGAGCTGTCATGTCAATTTTTTCTATTGTACCCTCTTCAGATTCAGAAGCTGGACAGGATTCAATTTTAATAGTTGCCCTTGCATTTACATTGATCATTTGATCATTACTGACTGCTTCCTTCATCCTTCGAATTTCGTTTCGCACTTTTTCACTTGGAGGAGCGGTTGGGTTATCTGGAAGGAGAAGGAGACGTCCAGCTATGTCTGACCTAACGTACAACTTCTCAACCTTTTCCACATACGATGCTGGAAATATTCCAAAATCCCCAGTGTTAGAGTTGAATCCCATAAACCAGCCATTTCCTACGTCCTTGACCTTGTCTATCCAGTCATTCACGTGTAGAGCCATGTAACTGTATGCCTCATCATCGGGCAGGTAGTCATATAGGGCACGGTACTGGGCCATCGCTGTTGAACAGAAAAAGTAAACAACTGTTATTAAAACTTGCAAACCTTGTCATATATTTTACAATAGATATTTAAAGAAGAGCAATCAATGGTACAACAGGGATTTCCATATTGTTGCTTTTTTCTAGTATTTTTGTCGTAAAACATTGACATATGTTTTGTTTGTTACTAACATCATGAAGATATGACATTGAGGCAAGTGTTTAGGTGTCAGTCAATGATTTACACTGCAGTGTGTTTGTAACAGAACTTCTGATTTGCATGCTTCTATTTTATGGAAATCTTCAGAAAAAAAGTTTGACTAAAAAGCAATAAAGAACTTACATAACTTAGATGTTTATCGATATTGAACTCTGAATGTTAGTTGTAGTGACTTGGGTGGGATGAAATGTGTAACTGACTATTTCCCTAGCAGTTTTAACTAGTATGACTATTTCACTAGCTGTACATGTTTAACTAGTATGACTATTTTGCTAGCTGTTTTAACTATTTCACTAGCTGTTTTAACTAGTATGACTATCTCACTAGCTGTGAACTATTATGACTATTTCACTAGCTGTCAACTAGTATGACTATTCCACTAGCTGTACATGTTTAACTAGTATGACCATTTCACTAGCTGTTTTAACTATTTCACTATTTGTTTTAACTAGTATGACTATTTCACTATTTGTTTTAACTAGTATGACTATTTCACTAGCTGTGAACTAGTATGACTATTTCACTAGCTGTTTTAACTAGTATGACTATTTCACTAGCTGTGAACTAGTATGACTATTTCACTAGCTGTACATGTTTAACTAGTATGACCATTTCACTAGCTGTTTTAACTATTTCACTAGCTGTGAACTAGTATGACTATTTCCAAAGGTGGTTATAAATATCATGACTATTATATTTTAACCAGTATCAATGAGAATTTTGTATATTTTAACCAGTATCAATGAGAATTTTGTATATTTTAACCAGTATCAATGAGAATTTTGTAGATCTAAATTTAACAATGATGAAGTACTTCTTTTTAAGATAATTAAAAGATCTCTGAATAAATTACTATGTAAATATAACAACCTAAATTTCACCCTCTTAAAGAAAACTATTGAAAATACAACCCTTATATACTTCCCCCAATGCCCTGTGAAAGCTCCTATCTTATTGCAAACTTCATAGTATTTAATGGCAGACCACGATAATTAAACATACATATTGATGAATTGAATACATGACCGATTGGTTTTCAATGTCAATTTATAATAACATCTGTAAATTCACTGTAGGTAAAACATAGTTTTAAAATGAAATTTTAACATGGTTTTAAAAACAGTTTATATGATGGATAAGTACCTGATGGTTGCTCGCTTTTATGGCTGTTTTCTGTGTGTTCGTTGAAAGCGCTAATATTGCAGTAAATTTTTGAAGACTTTATAACTTCCTCAAGCGCATGCATACCAGCATATCACAAAAGTTTGTTTAAAATACAGCTTGTACTTATAAAACCACAAAGAGAATACTAATATAGAAACACTTCATGATATACTGACCTGAAATATTGGTGGCTGCACTCCTGACAGTGGTCAGTTAGAACTGGTCAAACTTCTGGTTTCATCAGTTTACAAGTCCCAACAACTCCAGTACTGGTGTTTTAATATCGGTTTATAGGATATACTTGTGTCTTTGCTGTATAGGGAAACCGTAGCTAAGGAAATGTACAGGATGCTATGATTAAGGTTTCCTTCTGTGATACATACCAAATATGTTTAACTCTAGCAGGACTTGGCACTAGCACAGAAAGGTATAGATATATATTGTGTATTATATTTGTTGGATTGTGTATAATATCTCTAGGGGAAGGAGTATGTTGAATGACTGTCCTCTATATTGTCACAGAAGATTGTTAGGTCCTTAAAAGTTAAGAGAAATTACGCGTATATGTATTATTGTCACAGAAGATTGTTAGGTCCTAAAAAGTTAAGAGAAATTACACATATATGTATTATTGTCACAGAAGATTGTTAGGTCCTAAAAAGTTAAGAGAAATTACACATATATGTATTATTGTCACAGAAGATTGTTAGGTCCTAAAAAGTTAAGAGAAATTACACATATATGTATTATTGTCACAGAAGATTGTTAGGTCCTAAAAAGTTAAGAGAAATTACACATATATGTATTATTGTCACAGAAGATTGTTAGGTCCTAAAAAGTTAAGAGAAATTACACATATATGTATTATTGTCACAGAAGATTGTTAGGTCCTAAAAAGTTAAGAGAAATTACACATATATGTATTATTGTCACAGAAGATTGTTAGGTCCTAAAAAGTTAAGAGAAATTACACATATATATATTCCAATCAAATTATGGGAGACATATAGTGTATTAGTACTGGTTGTTCTTGGTCTTCTTCAAATACTATCTTGTCTGTGTCATATAACTTTTAAACCATAAAAAATGTCTATATGAAATTTGAAGTACTTGTATACACAGGAGGTGTGCAGTGCACTGCATGTACTTAGGTCACTGTGACCTTTATGTCAAGGTCAAAAAGCAAACAAGTGCAACATTTCTGGTGAAATCTTGTCTGGACCGTAACTTTTAAACAATAAATTTCTAAATGATGCATGACGTGGAGCCTACTAAAGATGCAATGCATTGTAATGAGGTCACTGTGACCTTCACCTCAAGATGAATGGTCAAATAAATGCAATATTTCAAGTGAAGTTTTGTCTAGACCATAACTTTTAAACCATGGAAGATTTCTTGATGAAACTTGAAGTTAACCTGGATCACCCATTAAAGATGTGCAGTGCAGTGTAATTAGGTTACAGCAGCCTTGACCTGAAGGTCAGATATCATAGGTTTGCAGTGTTAAAGATACTGTAACAAGCATGGCTTAAATTTTAATATGAACAATCAAGCTTCAAATACAAATATGTTCACAGTTCTGATTGATGGAAATCATTTGTAAAAAAACAACACAAAACAAACAAAAAGAAAAATGTTTAAGGTCACTAGTGTCCAATGTTTCAAACAATTTCAAACAATGTCTAATCTCAATAACTAAAAGGCTAAGTGTGATGATATTTTGCCAGTAGCATGCTGTGATGAAGGGCTATCAAGTTTATTGAAAAGAATGACCTTGACCCCCTTTCAAGATAGCAGAGTGCAAATATGTAAAATGTTAAAATAACTTCTCAATTCCCAAAAGACCCAGGATGATGATATATGCTAAGCAGAATACTGGGAGGAAGGGCTACCAAATTTGTTCAAATGAATGACTTTCAAAGTCACAGGGGTCAAATGTGTTAATATCTTCACAATGTCTCCACAATAACCAAAAGGCCCCGGATGGTGACATTTTAACTGCTGCTTAATTTAACCCATGTTAATATGGTTACCTTTGGCCAACTTTGAAGGTTACCAGGTGAGCAATTCAGACCTGTTGGGCCTCTCATGTTTAAAAAACAGCTCATTTCAGTCTATAAAACATACATCTAACATTGTCTTGTCTATCTTTACAGGAAGAGTTTGTTCCCCAGTCTGGACGACGAGTTCTATGGTACAGCTGTGGCCCCACTGTGTACGATGCCTCACATATGGGCCATGCAAGGTTTGTAATTTTAACAGAACTAAGATGACTTGAAAGATTCAAAGACAGCAAATATCATGACATTCTTGTATGAAATACCACGTTAAATAAGACATAATCCCACCCAAAGAATTGGTGATAGATCAGTCATAATCCCACCCAAATAATTGGTGATAGATCAGTCATAATCCCACCCAAATAATTGCTGATAGATCAGACATAATCCCACCCAAATAATTGGTGATAGGTCAGTCATAATCCCACCCAAATAATTGGTGATAGATCAGACATAATCCCACCCAAATAATTGCTGATAGATCAGACATAATCCCACCCAAATAATTGGTGATAGATCAGACACAATTTGTTTTATTTTAATTTCAAAAGCACATGTGATTAAATAACTCTAATGAAATCTTAGGAAACTGAAATTAGATTCTCAATATTAAGGAATTTTAAATATAGATTTTTGATTTGTTTTATTGACTCTATATAGGTCGTACATGTCCTTTGATATCCTGCGTCGAGTCATGCAAGACTACTTCAACTATGATGTGTTTTACTGTATGAACATCACCGATGTTGATGACAAGGTAAGCCAGTCCTTCCTTCTAATCCCACCGCCCCCACCCCCAACCCCATACTTTATAGTGTTATAGCCTCATACTTATATTACTGATAAGTCAGGTCCCACTTAAGTGTCTCATTATGCTCTCACTAATTTTCAATATGATGCAATATTTCAGTACATTCTGTAGGAATCTGAATCTATGAGCAACAAATAACAATACCTTGTGGCCAAAGTTAACATACATTATAATGAATACGCCATCCTTTAAATGTATTTTCCCATCTTCTATTGTTGTCCACCATCAGTCTGTGGTAAAGACACTTCCAAACATTCTAAACTTAGCTTTCACAGATGAAATTTACCAAACAGAAAATGCATTTGTCCAATTACGATTAATAATAATACTATTATAATTTGAGGTTCTTATATACCGCTTTATCACAACCTAGTTCGTAGGTCGTCTCAAAGCGGTTCACAAATTATTATCCGTGGCTATATATAGGGCCTTTGCAACCAGCCAATATCTTTCTCAGCTCCCTTAAGGGAGCATACAGCCGATGCTGCTATTTTTGCACTCACAGCTAGCATTCTACAATTCTAGCACTGCCCAACCACATACTCATTTACAGCAGAGTAGACTGGAACATGCAGAGTAAAGTATCTTGCTCAAAGATACAACACAGTGCCGTGCCGTGACTAGAACCCGCAACCCTTCGGTCACGAGCTCGGCGTCCTACCACTAGAGTACTGTGTCTCCTGATTGGCTAGTGTAATTTGTAGTTTGGTTGTTTGATGAATAAATAGGATAGATAATATAAGAAATAATATATTTTGTTTTTCTTGCAGATTATCAGACGAGCCAGACAGAATCATCTATGGCAGAATTATATTGGTGAAAAGCATGCATGGAAGAAGGTCATGGATGATACGTTGCAGGCCATGAAGGTGAAGGTCAAAGGAGTAGTCATACAATGTTATCATTCATGTGTGAGAAATAAAACATGAATCTAACTTTATTGAGGAAATAAGGAACATGAATTAATACTTATTGAAAGAGTTTCTTTTTGCGTATTGAATTCAAAAGAAAAAAACTCATACTTATTTTTCTAACATGAAGAAAGTAGAAGGGTAACCATTGAAATTAAGATCTACTTTTTCTGAATATAATGATAAACTTACCTAAATAGCTAGGGGTGGTCGGGTGGTGCAGTGGATAGCGCACTCGCCTTTCACAGAGACAGCAGGGGTTTGGTACCCCAATCGAAGGTGTAAAGGTATGGGGTCACCTGCCCTTACCCTGTGGGTTTTCTCTGAGTACTCTAGTTTCTTCCAACATTGAGACCATCCAGGCCAGTGAGAATGGTTATTATACGTTGCGTTTTGTTTAGAAGATACAATTTCTACTTTTACTTTTATTTTTTCGGCTGCAGCCATTCTCTGTCAAAATGACCACAGAAACGGACTTAGACAAGAAAGCTATGTATGAGCGGCAAAAAGTGAAGGTTGACCTGGCTGTTAACAACTTAGAGTCTGTGATGAATAACCAATCAAAAGACGAGGCAGCCGTTCAAGCAGCAAAAGAGGTGAGCTTGCTATTTAACCTACATCAAGATATTGGCACTACTTAGGATGTCTGACAATATTCCACATTGGATTAAGGATAGCAGCAAAACTGATGATCATACAATCTTCAAAAGTTATACATGAGGATAATAGAAAACCACTACCAACCAAATATAGGAGTTATCTCCCTTTTGTCTGGTGTGTTATGCGTTGATAGACATTGCAGGAATTTTTATATAGAAAAAACAAATTCCAAAGATTTTTCCTCTCCTGAGACGTTCATGATTTTACTGACAGTCAGAGGTTACATGTGAACTTAACAGTGTGATCTCCCTGATAGATTCTGTAGCTAGCCAAAAACTACGATATCAACAACTTATCGAATTAATACAGAATGTAGGAAACAATCCCCATCTCCTAAAGGACTCTTATTTACAAAGTCTTACTCCTGTGATACACCTACCCTCCATTGATATCCTGTGATACACCTACCCTCCATTGATATCCTGTGATACACCTACCCTCCATTGATATCCTGTGACATACCTACTCTCCATTGATATCCTGTGACACCTACATGTACCCTTCATTGATATCCTGTGATACACCTACCCTCCATTGATATCCTGTGATATACCACCCTCTATTGATATCCTGTGACACACCTACATGTACCCTCCATTGATATCCTGTATGTGACACACATACCCTCCATTGATATGGACACACCTACATGTACCCTCCATTGATATCCTGTATGTGACACACCTACCCTCCATAGATATCCTGTGACACACCTACCCTCTATTGATATCCTGTGACACACCCACCCTCCATTGATATCCTGTGATATACCACCCTCTATTGATATCCTGTGACACACCCACCCTCCATTGATATCCTGTATGTGACACACCTACCCTCAATTGATATCCTGTGACACACCTACATGTACCCTCCATTGATATCCTGTGACACACCTACCCTCTATTGATTTCCTGTGACACACCTACCCTCTATTGATATCCTGTGACACACCTACTCCCCATAGATATCCTGTGACACACCTTCCCTCTATTGATATCCTGTGACCCACCTACATGTACCCTCCATTGATATCCTGTGCCTTACCTACCCTCCATTGATATCCTGTGATACACAACCCTCGTTAGATATCCTGTGACACACCTACCCTCTATTGATATCCTGTGATATACCACCCTCTATTGATATCCTGTGACACACCTACCCTCCATTGATATTCTGTGATACACCTACCCTCTATTGATATCCTGTGACACACCTACTCACCATAGATATCCTGTGACACACCTACCCTTCATAGATATCCTGTGATACACTTACCCTCTATTGATATCCTGTGACACACCTACTCTCCATAGATATCCTGTGATACACCTTCCCTCCATAGATATCCTGTGATACACCTACCATCCATAGATATCCTGTGATACACCTACCCTCCATTGATATCCTGTGATACACAACCCTCGTTAGATATCCTGTGACACACCTACCCTCTATTGATATCCTGTGATATACCACCCTCTATTGATATCCTGTGACACACCTACTCTCCATAGATATCCTGTGATACGCCTACCCTCCATAGATATCCTGTGATACACCTACCCTCCATTGATATCCTGTGACACACCTACATGTACCCTCCATTGATATCCTGTGATACACCTACCCTCCATTGATATCCTGTGATACACAACCCTCGTTAGATATCCTGTGACACACCTACCCTCTATTGATATCCTGTGACACACCTACATGTACCCTCCATTGATATCCTGTATGTGACACACCTACACTCAATTGATATCCTGTGACACACCTACATGTACCCTCCATTGATATCCTGTATGTGACACACCTACACTCAATTGATATCCTGTGACACACCTACATGTACCCTCCATTGATATCCTGTATGTGACACACCTACACTCAATTGATATCCTGTGACACACCTACATGTACCCTCCATTGATATCCTGTGACACACCTACCCTCTATTGATTTCCTGTGACACACCTACCCTCTATTGATATCCTGTGACACACCTACATGTACCCTCCATTGATATCCTGTATGTGACACACCTACCCTCTATTGATATCCTGTGACACACCTACTCACCATAGATATCCTGTGATACGCCTACCCTCCATAGATATCCTGTGATACACCTACCCTCCATAGATAACCTGTGATACACCTACCCTCCATAGATATCCTGCTGATTGAGACACCTTAGTACCTACCTGCTGAGTTAGACTTGATTTATTTATCTCTCCCATTTAAATGAATGTAAGTCAGGTTCTTCTAGTTCTTATGATTATTCTGTTCACATCTTATCTGGGCAGGAAAACTGTTTAAGATATCTCATGTAATCTGAAATGTATTATTCTCAGAATGTGTTCCGTTCACTCTAAATAGATCACTGTGAACTTTTAGCTCAAGTGCAAATTATCTTGGAAAAGTTAACTGGACCGGAAATAATAAACCTTACAGGATATTTCAATGAAATCTGAAATGCATCACCAACAGAAGGTGTGTAGTGTACATTAAGTAAGTCATGTTCAAAGTTTAAATGGGTACATATTTTCTGGGAAATCTTGAATGCACTGTAAATTATAAACCATTGAAGATATCTTATGGAATCTGATGTATATCAGAACAAGTCACAGGAGGTGTGTAGTGATCTATAGTTACGTCACTGTGTGGTTTACCTTTAGGCCAAAGGTCAAACAAGTACAGTAAAACCTTGTTATACCGCCAGCTTCTGTCCTCTGTGATTTTGGCAGTAAAACGAGTTTGGCGGTATAACGAGTTTGGCGGTATATCGGGTTTACCGTTTTGAACCCAAGTGTCCACACATACATATTCCTGTACTAGACTCAAATTGGCGGCATTTAACGAGGTCAAAATAGTGTGATTTTAACCATTTGTTTTGGGAATATGATGGCGGATGGCGGTATACGGGTTTGGCCTTACAACGGATGCATTATCATTAGGGAAATCCGTTCTGAGTAAACTAATGGCAGTATGCAGGTATGGCAGTTTAACGGGTGCCATTACAACAGGGTTTTACTGTACAAAGAAAATATGCATATTGGCTAACAAGCACTGACATATCTTATTGTATACAAAAGCAACAATCTAGTTCTTCATTGAGGAACTGCAAATTATTTTTTTATAAAATAACACAAACCTAAAAGTTATTATGCCATAATGTTACATGAACCATAAAGCAAAAAAAGGAAGTTGTGGCTTATTTACCTCAATTTAGGATATGTTAGCCATAGGAAATACGGAAATCACTGGGGTGGGAAAATGTTCAACATGTTCAACACCTCAATACCTTCTGGATTTGTATGTGAACAGGTTGGTTGGTTGACGGGTTTATCACCTACATGACTCCACCCATGCGGGTTTCGTATCACTATGTGAACAGATTTTTCATTTCTATATGTACAGAATCTCTTGGAGTCTTCAAAGGACATCATCAGTGATTGGCTAGACAAAGCCCATGGGTCAGAGGTCACTGACAACTCTATCTTCTCCAGTCTGCCAAGGTTCTGGGAGGAGGACTACCACAAGGACATGGAGTCCCTCAACGTAAGTAGCACTGTACTGAGTATACTAGGGTGGGATTACACATATCAGACATGTATGTGTGATGTTAGGCCTTGTAATACTATATAAACCTGGTGTGTTTAGGTACAGTCCGCTGACGTCCTGACCAGGGTCACTGAATACATCCCAGAGATCATTGAATATGTCCAGAAGATCATTGACAATAAGTTCGCGTAAGTTTTATATAGTTTTTGATTTTGTCTATTATGTTTATGTATGCATGTTTTACTATAACTACTTTTAAGAAATAAAACATGTCTGATTAAATTATGAATGAGTTTAAATTTTATTTGTATTATGTCTTGTATATCTTGCTTAAAGTCAGTATAAACACCTCTACAAAGCAACTGGTGGAAATATCTCTGTTGTGTTTGGTAGAAATATTTCTACTGTGATTGGTGAAAATATCTCTACTGTGATTGGTGGAAATATCTCTACTGTGATTCATGGAAACATTTCTACTGTGATTGGTGGAAATATCTCTACTGTATTTAGTGGAAATATCTTTACTGTGATTTGTGGAAATATCTCTACTGTGATTTGTGGAAACATCTCTACTGTGATTGGTGGAAATATCTCTACTGCATTTAGTGGAAATATCTCTACTGTGATTGGTGGAAATATCTTTACTGTGATTCGTGGAAATATCTCTACTGTGATTCATGGAAACATCTCTACTGTGATTGGTGGAAATATCTCTACTGCATTTAGTGGAAATATCTCCACTGCAATTGGCTTAAATGTATCTACTACAATTGGTGGACATTTCTCTACAACAATTTGTGGAAATGTTTCTACTTAGATTTGCTATAGAGCATCCATATTTAGTGGGATTTGGTGATGAATTATTGTGTAAAGGAAGAGTATACAATGTAGCTGCTCTGTGGACTGTATCCAAAAAGGGCTGATTTGGGCCTTTACTTTTATAAAAAAAAAAAAAAAAGTGAGCAGTGTTTAGCTTGACAATGTGGTTGCTGTTACTAGTTTATTAACATTTTTTTTTTATTCATTTTCATTTTTTTTTTATTCTTTTTCATTTTTTTTGGTATGACTATGGTATACATGATTGTTGTTAAAGCTCTTGACAAAACTTACTCCAACTGCGAATTTTGTATCATTTCAGCTATGAATCAAATGGCTCTGTCTACTTCAAGACAACTGACTTTGCTGACACAGACGGCCATTTCTATGCTAAGTTGGTGCCTGAGGCTATTGGTGATGCCGATGCACTTAAAGAAGGGGAAGGTAACTCTTGCTTATAAACAATGTATGGGAGAGTGTGTATATAGTTGTATATAGTTGTATAGTTGTATAGTTGTATGGGTACAATGGATCTGATTAACTCATTCACCCCTGAAGACACATTAGAACTCTTCCAATTCAAAGGTTGGAATAGTTCATTATGAAATTTCAGGAGTGAATGAGTTAAGTCCGTAGGAAGCAGCTGGTATTTTACTAGGGTGACATTCAGCTTTTAGATGAAAGGAACTTCTTAATAAATAAATGTTTTCATAATTATACCTACACCTGTCATTTCTGTGTTAAATTACATGACATCATAAGAGAAATAATGAGTATTTGTTAGCAACATGTCAAGATCTTTTTATCAAATTCAATTTACTTGATAGCATTGTCCATAATTCAAATATGTACCATTTACATGTTGAAGTTGAAGGTATATAGCTCTCATTTATGATAATTGAATATCTACATGTGTGATATTGTAAAATACCTGTGATTTAAGGTGAACTTAGTGTATCTGAATCTCAGCTAGAAGAAAAGAAAAGCCAGAATGACTTTGCTCTTTGGAAAGCTTCCAAACCAGGTGAACCATCTTGGGAGTCTCCATGGGGTAAGGTAAGTGGTCTGTTATTTAGGGGGCAATTCTTAATGTGAGAAAGCCTCATAACATGTTGATTCTAAAAAAAAAGTTGCTATTTTCTGATTGTTGCAGAGATGACTCTTTGAGCTCTTATTCCGTCTTTGCGTATTGCAGAGTTATCTTCTCTTGTGAGCAGGTATTGATTGTTCCGTCATTGGTTTGTGTGAGAAAATTACGTCGTTTTCTCAAAAATTGATGACGTTACTCTCACAAACAAGTGACGTAACAATCAATACCTACTCCCAAGAGAAGATAACTCTGCAATACGCAAAGATGGAATTGGTTAAGACAATTTTGATTTATCAATAGAACCTGCAGGCTTTGACCAATCATAATGCAAATTTCAATGGTCCTTAACAGATTTGAATACTGTTATTATACATGTAAAGAGAAAATATTGGGATGCAGTAAAGACCTATTGGGGTTCTTATTTTTAGAATGGTTAGGGAATGCTTAACCAGTGTATGAATGATGGACATGAAAGCCCAGGTGGTGATTAGTCAGGTTCAGTCAACTTATCAGATAGAAACCATTTAACTAGAACCTTATAATTATATTAAAATGAAAGTTTAAAAAACATTTTTTTTAATGTTTTTCATTTTTGGGAAGAATTTCTTTTACAATACAGGGACGTCCTGGCTGGCACATTGAATGTTCCGTGATGGCAAGTTGTATTCTGGGAGAATCTTTGGATATCCACACTGGAGGAGTCGATCTCAAATTTCCTCACCATGACAACGAGTTGGCTCAGGCTGAGGTTTGTATGTAATGTGAAACCTTGTTAGCTAAATGATAAGGTTTTTATGTTACTAGACATTTAATGCAAAAAGCTTATGTTTGAATTGTTTTAACAGTAAATATTTAAATTTGTATATTTTACAGTCTCCTACCAATTTATCTCTTCATCCACAATTGTTTAACAAATTTACCAGTAAAATATCCACGGAGATTATAGCCGAAGACTTGTGTGCCACCACTTTTGACAAGTATTTAGCACAATTTTCACTTTCCTTTCCACAGGCGTACTACAAAAACGACCACTGGGTTCGGTACTTTCTCCACTCCGGTCATCTGACCATTGACAACTGCAAAATGTCCAAGTCACTTAAGAACTTCATTTCCATCAAGGATGCTCTTAAGAAACACACATCTCGACAGCTGCGCCTGCTTTTCCTCCTTCATGCCTGGAAGGACACACTAGACTATGGTGAAAACAGCATGGAGGTTGCTCTCAAGTATGAAAAGAGCTTCAATGTAAGTACCAAAATATAACTCGGAAAGGGAAATACAATGGAGGTACCAAAACATACCACAGGGAGGGAAATACAATGTAGGTACCCAATACATAACACATGGAGGGAAATACAATGTTGGTACCAAAACATACCTCAGGGAGGGAAATACAATGTAGGTATCAAAACATACATCAGGGAGGGAAATACAATGTAGGTACCAAAACATACCTCAAGCAGGGAAATACAATGTTGCTACCAAAACATACCTCAAGCAGGGAAATACAATGTATGTACCAAAACATACCACAGGTAGGGAAATACAATGTATGTACCCAAAACATACGACAGGGAGGGAAATACAAGGTAGGTTCCAAAACATACCTCAAGGAGGAAAATACAATGGATGTACCAAAACATACCTCAGGGAGGGAAATACAATGTAGGTACCAAAATAAACATCAGGGAGGGAAATACAATGTAGGTTCCAAAACATACCACAGGGAGGGAAATACAATGTCCGTACCAAAACATACCACAGGGAGGGAAATACAATGGAGGCTCCAAAACATACCACAGGGAGGGAAATACAATGTAGGTTCCCAAACATACCTCAGGGAGGGAAATACAATGTAGGTTCCAAAACATACCACAGGGAGGGGAATACAATGTAGGTACCAAAACATACCACAGGGAGGGAAATACAATGGAGGTACCAAAACATACCTCAGGGAGGGAAATACAATGTAGGGACCAAAATATACCACATGGAGGGAAATACAATGTAGGTACCAAAACACACCACAGGGAGGGAAATACAATGTAGGTTCCCAAACATACCTCAGGGAGGGAAATACAATGTAGGGACCAAAATATACCACATGGAGGGAAATACAATGTAGGTACCAAAATATACCACAGGGAGGGAAATACAATGTAGGTTCCCAAACATACCTCAGGGAGGGAAATACAATGTAGGTACCAAAACAAACCTCAGGGAGGGAAATACAATGTAGGTTCCAAAACACACCACATGGAGGGAAATACAATGTAGGTACCAAAACAAACCTCAGGGAGGGAAATACAATGTAGGTTCCAAAACACACCACAGGGAGGGAAATACAATGTAGGTACCAAAACATGCCTCAGGGAGGGAAATACAATGTAGGTACCAAAACATACCACAGGGAGGGAAATACAATGGAGGCTCCAAAACATACCACAGGGAGGGAAATACAATGCAGGTACCAAAATAAACATCAGGGAGGGAAATACAATGTAGGTACCAAAAACATACCACAAGGAGGGAAATACAATGTAGGTACCAAAACATACCTCAGGGAGGGAAATACAATTTAGGTACCAAAACATACCACAGGGAGGGAAATACAATGGAGGTACCAAAACATACCTCAGGGAGGGAAATACAATTTAGGTACCAAAACATACCACAGGGAGGGAAATACAATGTAGGTTCCAAAACATACCTGAAAGAAGGAAATACAATGTAGGTTCCAAAACATACCAGAGGGAGGGAAATACAATGTAGGTACCAAAACATGCCTCAGGGAGGGAAATACAATGTAGGTACCAAAAACATACCACAAGGAGGGAAATACAATGTAGGTACCAAAAACATACCACAAGGAGGGAAATACAATGTAGGTACCAAAAACATACCACAAGGAGGGAAATACAATGTAGGTACCAAAAACATACCACAAGGAGGGAAATACAATGTAGGTACCAAAAACATACCACAAGGAGGGAAATACAATGTAGGTACCAAAACACACCACAGGGAGGGAAATACAATGTAGGTACCCAAAACATACCACAGGGAGGGAAATACAATGTAGGTACCAAAATAAACATCAGGGAGGGAAATACAATATACCAGGTACCAAAACATACCACTGAGAGGGAAATACAATGTACTGTAGGTACATGTACCACCAGTACAAGTGATGTATAATTAGGGAGGTTAACATTACCAGTATAAACATGTAAATATTACTAGTAGATTGTGTGGTCACAAAGGTCTGGGGTCTGCAAGGTCATAGCAAAATGTGTACAGATCAACTCACTACAAAGCTAGTATTAACAGGAACTTTTGAAATGCCAAATGTGCTGAAACTTGGTTGATTGATGAGTTTATTAGGTCTAGAGGTACATTAAACTTCTCAAACAGGTTTCTGCTGCCACAATAAAGTTCAAATGAAATGTCATTGATGCATGATGTGTCACAAATGTTAGCTTCATGTTCAGGGGCGAGTATAGAAATATTTTGGAATGGCAGTAACATTTTCTAGGGGGGAGGAGGGAATGTCGGGGCATTCCATTCCTCAAACTACGTTAATCAAAAGACTTTCATTTTTCATTGATGTAGATATCGAGATGTAGATGTTTCCAGTTGAATTTACTAAGTATGTTTTTTCCTATACAGGAGTTTTTCCTCACAGTTAAGGATGTCCTACGTATGACCCCTAGCACTGGGCTGGCGTCCTTTGAGAAGTGGACAGATGATGAATTACAGATGAATGAAACGTAAGGGCCAATGATATTCTTTAATATAGGAATGAAACGTAAGGGCAAATGATATTCTTTAAGATAGGAATGAAACGTAAGGGCAAGTGATATTCTTTAAGATAGGAATGAAACGTAAGGGCAAGTGATATTCTTTAATATAGGAATGAAACGTAAGGGCAAGTGATATTCTTTAAGATAGGAATGAAACGTAAGGGCCAATGATATTCTTTAATATAGGAATGAAACGTAAGGGCCAATGATATTCTTAAACATAAGGGCCAATGATATTCTTAAACATAAGGAATGAAACATAAGGGCCAATGGTATTCTTAAACATAAGTAATGAAACGTAAGGTCCAATGGTATTCTTAAACATAAATAATGAAACATAAGGGCCAATGGTATTCTTAAACATAAGTAATGAAACGTAAGGTCCAATGGTATTCTTAAACATAAGGAATGAAACGTAAGGGCCAATGATGTTCTTAAACATTAGTAATGAAAAGTAAGGGCCAATGGTATTCTTAAACATAAGAATGAAAACTTATGTGTCCCTGTTAGATTGGAGAAATATAAAATCATTCTTCACATTAGAAGTATCTCTGATTTTTTCCCCTGTTTTGATCTTACACAGCTACCTAGCCATGAGAAGAGACGTGCATGCAGCCCTGTGTGGTAAGTATTAATCATATTGTTTTAGAATACTTGTTTATATACAGGTAAATATATAGCAGGAACATCTTAGTTTCTGTGTCGTCATTTAGCAGTAAAATGGACATACTACGTCTCTTCTTATGTATTAGATATTGGGATGAATTATTATTACGCTAATTGGATATTCCTCACATTTCCTTCTGTTTCATTATTCTATTTTTGGTTACCTGAATTCATCAAAGTGCTAACTTAAGTGGATCTGGTGTATCTCTGTGAAAGGGGACATGTACTGTTGGTAGTTTGTCTGCAGACTTCAGGGTAAGACGTATCTGGCTCAGTACAGAGTAAGACATATTGTCCATGTTTGTACAGATTCCATCAACACCCGTCAGACCATGGAAGTGATGCGAGAAGCCATGTCTGCCTGTAACATCTATATGACCAAGTGTAAGGTGGACAAACGCTTTCCCAATCGCAAGCTGCTCAAAAACATGGCCACCTACATCACAGACATGCTCAGGGTACGGTTTGCTTAAAAATGCAGTTTTTTGTTTTCGTGTAAATTTAACTTTTCCGTGGGAATTATTTTTGAGACTTTTAACCCTTTCACCACTGTTGACCATAATGGGCTCATCCAGATCAATGCATGGTAGAGACTACTTAAGTTACATAGGGTTGAAAGGGTTAATTAGAATCTTGTTGCTGAAAGATGCTTTGATAGTAAGCTTGGTTTTGTTTCGTTCCTGAGAGGGAGAAAACATATTGACTTGTTAAGATTCTAGTAGGTCCAGGAAACTTAATATCTGCAAATTTCTCTCGTTTTATATAAAAAAAACTTCAGCACTAAAAATGCATAAGTTAATTTAAATTTCCCTCATTATAGATTAATTACCAAAGTCTGATAACAATAAAACGTAAAATATAAACTTTAAAGTTAAACGGCCCCGAATCTTTAATTTGCAGCAATTTTGTGTATTTTAGACGATTTGCAGAGATACGACATGTATACATCTGTTTGTTGAAATTGTCTTTACCTGTATTTTCAGATTTATGGTGCGATAGAGACCGAGACTGTGATCGGATTTCCCCAGGGTGGAGCAGCTAGTACTGATGTAAGTCCCTCTCGTCTGAAAAGATTGAAAATGTTCGATTCTGATTAATATCTAAAACATTTGTCTTATTGAAATTGTATACAGACAATGCAGCTATTGATAATCTTGCTGCTGGTCAAGATTATTTTTGCTGAATTACATAATTATATAACAAAAGTTACTTTCATTTACATATTTTCTGCCTACTGACAATAAAGTTCGCTGAATTATGAGGAAACCGTTTTGCTTCCTTTATGGTTTCAATGACTTGCTGGTTATTGAATAGATATGATTTCACAGGTTCATTGGATTTTATCCTAATCTGATCGTCAGACATTTTTATAACCCCCCCCCCCCCCCCCCCCCGAAANGGGGGGGGGGGGGGTATACTGGAACCACTCTTTCCGTTTGTTCGTCCGTACGTCTGGTACCTCTTACTCCTCCTAGGTTTATGCATGGACGCCATCTGAGGTTAGACTTTTTCATGACCCTTGAGCAGCCCGGATTGCGGGGAGTATTAGTTAGCCCATAGGCGACAGTTCTAGTTTACACTACTTCTGTCCTCATTTAATTGTCATGTTTGTAACAAAAAGATATACTACTGATTTTTGAATCCATGACATCAGTCATCAAGATATTTTAGTTTCCCTTTTTAATATTTTCCATTTTTTTATCATCTAAAGTTGGAAGAAACGGTGATGCCATATCTCCAATCATTTGCTCAGTTCCGAGACGATGTGAGAAAAGTCTCCCGGGAGCAGAAAGGTTTGTATTTCTGCTCGGTCATCACTGCATTTCACCACACAATTCTGGTAATGTTACATAGAATCCAATCTGCTAATGAGCCACTTCTATTAAGAAACCACCTGTGTTAGGAGACCGCTTTGAAAGTTTGCCATTGTACTGATCTCTATGTGAAGTGTACCTGTTTTAATTAGGAGATTTTATAACCATGTTAAGAGACCACTTTTTGGACTTCCTTAGAGTTCCCTCTTAATTCAAGTGTTGTATATCAGATCTCAAAGGAGATATGAAATATCTATCATACATTTGACAGGACAGGATGTTATTGTTTTGTCTGCCTCTGTTTTCCTTTGTCCATAGTACAACTTCCTAACCATGGATTTCTTTTCAAACTTTATAGACATATGAGCTAAACCTAAGAGGTGTGCCATTGGGCATTTAAAGACCATCAATTTTAGGTCAAAAAGGTCACAGGGTGAATTAAAATGCCAAATCACCAGGTTGACGTTAAACAAAACTGGTTCCTTTTTAGCTCACCTGGCCCAAAGGGTCACGTGAACTTATGCCGTGGTGCAGACTCCTTCGTCCGTCCATCGGGCGTCAACTTTTTACTTTAAAACAACCTCTTCTCAGTTACCAAGAGGCCTAGGGTGATGGTATTTGGCCAGTAGCATGCTGAGATGAAGGACTATCAAGTTTGTTAAAATGAATGACCTTGACTTATATTCAAGGTCACATTTGGTCAAATATGTTTAAAATCTTTGATCAACTTTTTCTGAATAACCAAAGGGTGCAGGATGATGATATTTAGCCCATAATATGCTGGGATAAAGGGCTACCAAGTTTGTTCAAATAAATGACATTCACCAATATTCAAGGTCACAGGGGTCAATTGTCTTAGAAAACCTTTAAACAATTTCTTCTGAAATATCTAAAGGCCCAGGATGATGATATCTGGCCAGTAGTATGCTGGGATGAAGGGCTATCAAGTTTGTTCAAATGAATTACCTTTGCCTATATTCAAGGTCACAGGGGTCAAATATGTTTTAAATCTTTAAACGACTTCTTCTGAATAGCCAAAAGGCCCAGGAGGATAATATCTGGCCAGTAGCATGCCTGGATAAAGAGCTACAAAGTTTGTTCAAATGAATGAACTTGACTTTTGTTCAAGGTCACAGGGATCAAATATGTTCATAATCTTTAAACAACTTCTTCTGAATAACCATAAGACATAGAATGTCGATATCTGACCAGTAGCATGCTTGGATAAAGAGCTACAAAGTTTGGATGAAGGGTTTTTCATTTGAATGACCTTTACCCACTTTCAAGTTAACCTTGGGTCAAATATTTATAAACCTTTAAATAACCTAATCTCAATAAACAAAATTTCTCGGTTGGTGATATTTGGCAAGTTGTATGCTGAGATGAAGGGCTATACAGTGTGTTCAACGTAATGACTGTGTTCGACTTTCAAGGTCACAGGGGTCAAATGTTTTTAAATCTTCTTTTGAATGACTTATAGGTATAAATACTGATATTTTGCCTGTAGCTTTATTTTAGATTACTTTTAAGGTTACAAGTTACGAAATGAATACCAGGTGAGCGATGCAGGCCCATTGGGCCTCTTGTTCTTCTTGATTACCTGGCTAAGTGCACTGTAATTGTTCACAACATCAGAAAAACTTAAGACAACTACCAGGTATATTATGATCATTTTTAAAGAAATATTTCATCTACAGTTCTAGTTCAGATCACAAATATGGCATAGTTGAAAAATGCAGGTCAACTTGGACTCTTGTTGATAAATCAGGTTTTGTTGTGGTTTTATAAAGATTTTAAACAATATAAGATATAATATGATACAGTTTCAGAGAAACTAATATTGTTTATGCTGTTTACAGTGTTTGACATCCTGAAGATTTGTGATCAGGTCCGTGATGACACTCTGCCGAATCTCGGTGTTCGACTAGAAGACCACGATGATAGACCTACGGCTATTAAACTGGTAGATCGGGAGACTCTTCTCAAAGAGAGGGAGGAAAAGATCAGGCAGCAGGAACTCAAACAAAAGGAAAAGGAACGGAAGAAGAAAGAACAAGAAGCGGCTAAGGTATAAATGAATTACCGGTGTTTCCTCCACACCATCTCTATAGCCATAAGTATCTTTCGTTAATTAATATTTGCATAGATTTAAAAAAAAAAAAAATCAAATAAGTATGGTAATTTTGGTGGACATGGATATTTCAAAATTTCACATAATGTTTGAAGTTAATAATTGATCCTTGTTGAAATTCGAAAAGAGGTTAGTTTTTAGTGATTAAACTTCCAAGGTTTCGTATATATATACCTGGTTGTGTCTATATGCCCACCAAGGCAGTGTGTATTATATACATTGTATATGTACAAGTGTATGTAAATGCAGGGCCTCCAAGTAAGATCTGCGCTATTACATGGAGGCAAGTACACCAACATATCCTGTCTCCGGCACACATACACACTTGCACGCTTACACAACACACATGGAGGCGCGTCCTTAAATGACCTTAGATGTTCATAGGACGTTGAACAAAATTAAACCAAACAGACAAAAATTATGGCACTGGTATTAGGATAACAACAATTAAGATATTGATGCTTTGTATGTTTAGGAGGCAAAAGAGGCACAAGCAAGAATTCCTCCGTCAGAACTCTTCAAGAAGGAGACCAAGAACTACTCTAAATTTGATGACAAGGTAAGTGAGTTTTCAACAATTTAAGTATAAATATGGGATCACTATAAGTGCTGTCTTATACCCAATAGTCAATCCCTACCGCCACCCCCCGGTTGTTACCAATGGTAGAAAAGTATATAATTATTGTCTGATGCCTACCCCATGGTATTCTATAAATCACTGTATTTTCACAACAGATTGATTTGCTCGTTAATTGACAAGGGGAAAAGTTTATGAGTTTTAGTCTTGGGAATATTATAAGGTCACCTGCCAGAAGGAGTGAGCAATTAAATGCCAAGGTGAGGCATCCATCATCTGTCATTTTTTCACTTTAGAGAATATTTTGGCATTTATGGCTACATGACCCAACATTGTAGAAATGAGGCAAGTGGCACTAATTAGGGTCTAAATGGGGGAATCTTTAAAATCTTACTTTTTGTGTACAGGAAAAGATTTTTTCTTCTTAAATTGGTGACAAGCGACCTTGAGGTAATTGTGTAAGCAGAGGTTGTGGTCTCTCAAGGTGGGCTGAAGGGTAGAGCAATCTGTCCTTCAAAACACATACATATTTAAGCAGCCTTTCATTTTATGAGGATGCAGCCTTTCATTTTATGAGGATGAGTCAGAACCATATTTGAAGATTTCTAATGCAAACCTTCTTTTTTTTCTTTTAAAGGGCATTCCTACCCATGATGCTGAGGGAAAAGAACTTACTAAATCAGCTATTAAAAAACTTACCAAGATGTATGATGCTCAGGAAAAGGTTTACAACAAGTACCTGAAAAGTCAGGAAGGTGGAGCCACTGGGGGTCCAAGTCAATAAAATGTGTGACCATTTGAATGGCATCAATATTGTAACATTATCGTGTATAAACACTTAGATGGACACTTGGCATTCACACAGCTTGTAGTAGTTGTGGTTATTTAAATTAACTAACTTTTAATTTTGATCCACCCATTTAAAAAAGTAGGAACACCTATTTCCTGTTCCTGGTGACTGTTACATAAACTGTGTATCATTGACAAACATTTCTTGGGTATATAATCACCCAAATTAAGCTTTTCATGTTTAATGTTGTGACTTGATCTTATGATGTAGACTGTAGTGCTTTTCCATATAAATGGTTTGTGTCCCCAAGTCTTTAAAGTAGGAATTATATTCTACTGGTCATATAATGCTGGTAAAATTCATCTATTTATATCTTTCTCAATGAATAAATCATGATACTAAATCCATTGATGATGCAATATTCTCATAAAATCAACACACACTAGCTGGAGGTCAAACAGTCAACACAGACTACATTTTTTAGCTGGAAGTCAAACAATTGATACACACTAGCTGGAGATCAAACAGTCAACACCCACTAGCTGGAGGTCAAACAGTTGATACACACTAGCTGGAGGTCAAACAATTGATACACACTAGCTGGAGGTCAAACAGTTGCTACACAATAGCTGGAGGTTAAACAGTTGATACTCACTAGCTGGAGGTGAAACAGTTGATGCACACTAGCTGGAGGTCAAACAGTTAACACCCACTAGCTGGAGGTCAAACAGTCAACACAGACTACATTTTTTAGCTGGAAGTCAAACAATTGATACACACTAGCTGGATATCAAACAGTCAACACCCACTAGCTGGAGGGCAAACAGTTGATACACACTAGCTGGAGGTAAAACAGTTAAACCACACTAGCTGGAGGTAAAACAGTTGATACACAATAGCTGGAGGTTAAACAGTTGATACTCACTAGCTGGAGGTGAAACAGTTGATGCACACTAGCTGGAGGTCAAACAGTCAACACACACTAGCTGGAGGTCAAACAGTCAACACACACTAGCTGGAGGTCAAACAGTTGAAACACACTAGCTGGGGGTCAAACAGTTGATACACACTAGCTGGAAGTCAACACACACTAGCTGGAGGTCAAACAGTTGAAACACACTAGCTGGAGGCCAAACAGTCAACACCCACTAGCTGGAGGTCAAACAGTCAACACACACTAGCTGGAGGTCAAACAGTTGATACACAATAGCTGGAGGTTAAACAGTTGATACTCACTAGCTGGAGGTGAAACAGTTGATGCACACTAGCTGGAGGTCAAACAGTCAACCCCCACTAGCTGGAGGTCAAACAGTTGAAACACACTAGCTGGAGGCCAAACAGTCAACACCCACTAGCTGGAGGTCAAACAGTCAACACCCACTAGCTGGAGGTCAAACAGTTGATACACACTAGCTGGAGGTTAAACAGTTGATACACACTAGCTGGAGGTCAAACAGTTGATACACACTAGCTGGAGGTCAAACAGTTGATACACAATAGCTGGAGGTTAAACAGTTGATACACACTAGCTGGAGGTTAAACAATTGATACACACTAGCTGAGGGTGTAACAGTTGATGCACACTAGCTGGAGGTCAAACAGTCAACACCCACTAGCTGGAGGTCAAACAGTTGAAACACACTAGCTGGAGGTCAAACAGTTGATACACACTAGCTGGAAGTCAACACACACTAGCTGGAGGTCAAACAGTTGATACACACTAGCTGGAGGTCAAACAGTTGATGCACACTAGCTGGAGGTCAAACAGTTGATACACACTAGCTGGAGGTCAAACAGTTGATACACACTAGCTGGAGGTCAAACAGTTGATACACACTAGCTGGAGGTCAAACAGTTGATACACACTAGCTGGAGGTCAAACAGTTGATACACACTAGCTGGAGGTCAAACAGTTGATACACACTAGCTGGAGGTCAAACAATTGATACACACTAGCTGGAGGTCAAACAGTTGATACACACTAGCTGGAGGTCAAACAGTTGATGCACACTAGCTGGAGGTCAAACAGTTGATACACACTAGCTGGAGGTCAAACAGTTGATACACACTAGCTGGAGGTCAAACAGTTGATACACACTAGCTGGAGGTCAAACAGTTGATGCACACTAGCTGGAGATCAAACCGTTGATACACAGTAGCTGGAGGTCAAACCGTTGATGCACACTAGCTTGAGGTCAAACAGTCGACAAACACTAGCTGAGGGTGAAACAGTTGACACAATGTAGCTGGAAATCGGTTGAATCACACTGGTTCCTCAGACTGTCAAAACCACATGATAGAGGTAACACAGGCAACAGTTTGTTTACTCATTTGACAACAGAAAATGATGATTTGTTTGTAGGAATGACATTTATTATGTACTTGACAGTTTGGTTAGTTGGTAGTATTGATGAAGGAGAAGGTCATGTGTCCCATATATATATATATGTGTGTGTTTAGTTGTTGTAGAGCTTTTGTCGTTAGTGTATTGTTGTTTGTAAACCAATAGGTGCACATGGTGTGTATGTTCCAATATACAACTATGCCTATTTACATTAAATATTGAGTACCACTGATACAGAAAGATACTGTACTGTGCATTATATAATTAGGTGTAATCTTTAAAAAAAGCTCACAGAAACTAGAAGCTAGTGGGTACAGTAACATACATATAGGGTACAATAACATACATATAAGGTACAGTACTGTACATATAAGGTACAGAACCGTACATAGGGTACAGTACTGTATATATGTAGGGGACAGTACTGTATATATAGGGTACAGTGCTGTATATGTAGTGTAAAGTACTGTATATATAGGGTACAGAACCGGACATAGGGTACAGTACTGTATATATGTAGGGGACAGTACTGTATATATAGGGTACAGTACTGTATATGTAGTGTAAAGTACTGTATATATAGGGTACAGTACTGTATATGTAGGTGTACCGTACTGTATATATAGGGTACAGTACTATATATATAGGGTACAGTACTATATATGTAGAGTACAGTACTGTTTATATAGGGTACAGTGCTATATATATAGGGTACAGTACTATATATATAGGGTACAGTTCTGTATATATTGGGTACAGTACTATATATAGAGTACAGTACTCATGTACATGTAGGGTACAGTTATGTATAAAAAGGGTACAGGCTTCTATGGCATATTTATAGGAAGTGGACAAAAACCTGATCTTATTAACTTAGATCCTGTTACATGTATCAGTGTTGTGTACTTACCGGTAATGGTTATTTAAATTTTAAAAATATGAAGGATAATGGGAACTTTAATGTTTGAAAGGAGAAAAGTGTTTTTAACATTTTATTTTCAAATATGTATATATAGTTTTTTAAAGAATTATGTGAAAATAAATTTTCTGATAAAAGTGTAAAGTAAACTACATTGTATTGTTGACAAGTATTCTATCGATTTCACACAAAAAATTTTTTAAGTAGTATGAGAAATAAACAAATGTATTTCTTTAGTTATCCATTCAGATAGGGAGTAATTCCTCTTACCAATTTTGATAAAAGTGACTTATTAAAAAAATCACTGCTGGATATGTTAAATGTTAAGTAGATGTAAATGTGATGTTTTGTCAGACTTGAATCCTGATGTACTCTTAAACGTTTCACCTTGCATTGTCAGACTTGAATCCTGATGTGCTCTGTTACCTCACTTTGTATGTCAAATGATATTTCTGTCAACAAAATTAAATAAAAATAAATGTGACGTAATCTACTGACTGTGTTGTTTATCCATTGTGTTGACACCAGTGTTGCCTGCTGATCACGAGATACACCAACTCCTAAGGTAGGGTCAATGACTCCTAAGGTAGGGTCAATGACTCCTAAGGTAGGGTCAATGACTCTAAGGTAGGATCAATGACTCCTAAGGTAGGGTCAATGACTCCTAAGGTAGGGTCAATGACTCCTAAGGTAGGGTCAATGACTCCTAAGGTAGGGTCAATGACTCCTAAGGTAGGGTCAATGACTCCTAAGGTAGGGTCAATGACTCCTAAGGTAGGGTCAATGACTCCTAAGGTAGGGTCAATGACTCCTAAGGTAGGGTCAATGACTCCTAAGGTAGGGTCAATGACTCCTAAGGTAGGGTCAATGACTCCTAAGGTAGGGTCAATGACTCCTAAGGTAGGGTCAATGACTCCTAAGGTAGGGTCAATGACTCCTAAGGTAGGGTCAATGACTCCTAAGGTAGGGTCAATGACTCCTAAGGTAGGGTCAATGACTCCTAAGGTAGGGTCAATGACTCCTAAGGTAGGGTCAATGACTCCTAAGGTAGGGTCAATGACTCCTAAGGTAGGGTCAATGACTCCTAAGGTAGGGTCAATGACTCCTAAGGTAGGGTCAATGACTCCTAAGGTAGGGTCAATGACTCCTAAGGTAGGGTCAATGACTCCTAAGGTAGGGTCAATGACTCCTAAGGTAGGGTCAATGACTCCTAAGGTAGGGTCAATGACTCCTAAGGTAGGGTCAATGACTCCTAAGGTAGGGTCAATGACTCCTAAGGTAGGGTCAATGACTCCTAAGGTAGGGTCAATGACTCCTAAGGTAGGGTCAATGACTCCTAAGGTAGGGTCAATGACTCCTAAGGTAGGGTCAATGACTCCTAAGGTAGGGTCAATGACTCCTAAGGTAGGGTCAATGACTCCTAAGGTAGGGTCAATGACTCCTAAGGTAGGGTCAATGACTCCTAAGGTAGGGTCAATGACTCCTAAGGTAGGGTCAATGACTCCTAAGGTAGGGTCAATGACTCCTAAGGTAGGGTCAATGACTCCTAAGGTAGGGTCAATGACTCCTAAGGTAGGGTCAATGACTCCTAAGGTAGGGTCAATGACTCCTAAGGTAGGGTCAATGACTCCTAAGGTAGGGTCAATGACTCCTAAGGTAGGGTCAATGACTCCTAAGGTAGGGTCAATGACTCCTAAGGTAGGGTCAATGACTCCTAAGGTAGGGTCAATGACTCCTAAGGTAGGGTCAATGACTCCTAAGGTAGGGTCAATGACTCCTAAGGTAGGGTCAATGACTCCTAAGGTAGGGTCAATGACTCCTAAGGTAGGGTCAATGACTCCTAAGGTAGGGTCAATGACTCCTAAGGTAGGGTCAATGACTCCTAAGGTAGGGTCAATGACTCCTAAGGTAGGGTCAATGACTCCTAAGGTAGGGTCAATGACTCCTAAGGTAGGGTCAATGACTCCTAAGGTAGGGTCAATGACTCCTAAGGTAGGGTCAATGACTCCTAAGGTAGGGTCAATGACTCCTAAGGTAGGGTCAATGACTCCTAAGGTAGGGTCAATGACTCCTAAGGTAGGGTCAATGACTCCTAAGGTAGGGTCAATGACTCCTAAGGTAGGGTCAATGACTCCTAAGGTAGGGTCAATGACTCCTAAGGTAGGGTCAATGACTCCTAAGGTAGGGTCAATGACTCCTAAGGTAGGGTCAATGACTCCTAAGGTAGGGTCAATGACTCCTAAGGTAGGGTCAATGACTCCTAAGGTAGGGTCAATGACTCCTAAGGTAGGGTCAATGACTCCTAAGGTAGGGTCAATGACTCCTAAGGTAGGGTCAATGACTCCTAAGGTAGGGTCAATGACTCCTAAGGTAGGGTCAATGACTCCTAAGGTAGGGTCAATGACTCCTAAGGTAGGGTCAATGACTCCTAAGGTAGGGTCAATGACTCCTAAGGTAGGGTCAATGACTCCTAAGGTAGGGTCAATGACTCCTTAGGTAGGGTCAATGACTCCTTAGGTAGGGTCAATGACTCCTTAGGTAGGGTAAATGACTCCTAAGGTGGGGTCAATGACTCCTAAGGTGGGGTCAATGACTCCTAAGGTAGGGTCAATGACTCTAAGGTAGGGTTTATGACTCCTAAGGTAGGGTCAATGACTCTAAGGTAGGGTCAATGACTCCTAGGGTAGGGTCAATGAGGGTCAATGACTCCTAAGGTAGGGTCAATGACTCCTAAGGTAGGGGCAACAACTCCCAAGGTAAGGTCAATGACTCCCAAGGTAGGGTCAATGACTCCTAAGGTAGGGTCAATGACTCCTAAGGTAGGGTCAACGACTCCTAAGGTAGGGTCAACGACTCCTAAGGTAGGGTCAATGACTCCTAAGGTAGGGTCAATGACTCCCAAGGTAAGGTCAATGACTCCCAAGGTAGGGTCAATGACTCCTAAGGTAGGGTCAATGACTCCTAAGGTAGGACAATGACTATGGACATTTAACATTAGCTTTGGTCCCTGCTTGGAATTTCAAAACATGGATCCTTCAGCTTCACTCAGGAATAGTTAGTTTCAGAATTCATTTTATCACAAAATGGGACCTCATTGACTTACACCTGTGTGGGTATTTAAAGGTGCGGTAATACAATTCCTCCTAGAGCATTTAAATGACACAATTATTATAAAAGTATATAATCGTTGTATGCAACATATTCCAACTATTATTTTGATACCAATATTACATTATTTTAAGAAAGATTGTTTTTTTTGTATTGAAGATTTAAGCAGAAAAATATGTGAAATGTCATTACTAATGAGAGACTTCCCATTTTGGACACGTTAATTTGCATAGTTCTAAAATGAGTCTATTTTTCATACTTGCTTAAAAGTTGCCTAACAAAAATATCTTTCAACATGAGGAATTTCAAAAAAAATTACAGCGGGCAAATTAGTAAAGCCCTGTTTAAGGTCACAAGAATCATGTGTTGGAATCAAGTTTTTTTATCAAGTGTCAGACAAGGTTATCTTTCATTGCTTGACTTGTTTAGAGTTAAAGATATAAAATAATGTAATAATTCTTTCATGTTTTGTTTAATAAATGGGAAAAAACAAAATAATAATCACTTGCATATTAGTTTTATTATTAAGAACATTTTATTGTTTTTGTATATCAGTATATCTTTGTCTATAACACAATCTCAACCTTTAAAAGTTCTCCAGAGAAAAGATAACTTTTGCAGAATACATATTTATGGCTTATTACTGCTGCACACAACTTAAAAACATGCTTATAACATAATGAAGTGTTTTGGTATGACACAAAAACAGAAAAAAATATCAGTACATGTATTACCTTAATAAACATTGATAATGTGCATTGGCCATACTTGGCATGCTAAAAAAAGTATTTTACCGGTTTCGATATTACATAAAAATGATTCTGTAGACAAAAAATATATATATGGAAAGTTTTCAAGGAAGTATAAAATATAGACTTCCATTGGAACGCTATATAGGCAAGTCGATAATGTTGGGTATGTTTTAAATTTTGTGAAAATTTTGCATGTTTTTCTAATTAAAAGTATCGCTACACTAATTACTTCATGTATAATCAATATGACATATCTAGCATCAAAATAACAGTAGTTTTATATACGATCATAACTCATTTTCAAATAAAAAAATTCGCCTGTGACATTTACCTGTCATTTTGTTTGGATACCCCCTCTCTCAGCCTGGTGTTGTGCAAGGAGGTCCACTACGTGTATGGTTATCTGTAATAATGAATAATCATATATGCAGTTTTTGTTCATTTTTACATGTATGTATCTACATAAAGCAAAACAATAAAAGAAATTGAAGGTGTGACATGGGTATACAAGACTAATCCTTATGAAGGCTTTAAAATATACATATCAATCGGTATTTCACCGGCGTGCTACCATCAGGATAACATGAACTTAAGTCCATACTTGGTATTCTTCCCATTATGTGTCGCGGACCGAGATGCATTTCAGTATTACCGTGTCATGCGTTTTTCCTGGT